GGTGTGTAATTTTACCAGGAAGTGTTTCTTTTCAAGATTATATGTGTGCAGTTACTGATATTTTTCCTGAGCAGTAAATTCAGTGGAGCCCCCTGGTGGCAGATCTGGAAGCACAAGGAGTGCAAATAGCAGCCCCATTCATTTGCATACTCCTTTCCACCGTCATTCCATTGAACATGTCTTATGGTATAGTATGGTAGATATGCACAACTAAACTCCCTTATATATAAGAACTTAAGAAACAGGTATAAAGTGATAGATATTTTAACATATGTATGTTGGGTAGAAAACATCTATAAAAAGTACGCTAAAGATAACAAAAGATCTCCAAAATATTAAGAAACATAACAGAAACAAAAACATATCTCCATATTGGCAAAGCAGTACTCAACGTCCTGAGGTCGTTGGGGACACAAGAAACAAGTTTCAGCCAGAGTGTGAAGATATTTTACTCACCCTTCCTCAATCGTAACCCCATTCATTATAATGGAGTTGATGATCTTCACCTTCTCCTTGATCAAGGCTGAGGCTCCAATAGTAGACCGCTTGATGGACGTTTCCTCGCAGACTTGACTGGATGGGCCAATGATACTGTCTGTCCCAACCTTCAGCAAGTAAAAAAAAACAAGCTGACAAATTGCAGCATAAATGCAATATGAGTAGAAAAACTTAGAATAGAGGAATATCAAATGAGTTAATCCAAGTCTAAAAGGCTATCCTGTCCTGAACTTTGAATAAAACACTTACAATGAACACTTCTACAGGGGTTACTTGTACCGTAATGTTAGTTGATCTAGAGGAGATGAGTTGGCGGAGAACAGCTGGCAAACCTGACTGTCTTCCTGAAAGAAGAAAGAAACCAGGGTCCCCTAGTGGGTAGTTTAAGACATCCAATAAAGCCTACTATCTCCCAGACTCTGACTCACCATACTCAATTCAGAGATCACAGCTGTTGTATGAACCTGGGGCTCTTCGGAGAAGAATTTGGGAGCCTGGTGTAAAGAGAAGAGACAATGAACTGAGGAGTACTGTAATTCAGGGGGGATGCGGGGGGCAGGGTGTTACAATGACAACAATATAACTGTAATGGTTTAATTTCTTCCGCGAAGAATTCTTCAGTCGAGTACGCATGCTCTTACTAGGCGGTTGGCCTCAATGTATGCAGCCAGGGTGTTGACACGGTAACACATGCCATCTTCCATGATGTGCACATAGCAGCGCAGTCGGTCGCCATGGTAGGCATCACTCATGTCTCCCCGATGGTCGTTCCAGCAAGACTTGTCACGCGCGAGCTGAAGAAGATCCTCGTCTTTGGATGAGATGTAGATATCTGACAAATTTCAAGACATGCGAGATAATTCACCTGAACTTCCGCCACAGTCTTAATAATAATACCCTTACACTAATATAGTGCTGTTCTGGTCGCTCCACTCGAGCACTTTACGGGCAATGGGGAATCCCCCCCACCATCACCAATGTGCAGCCCTACCTGCATGGTACGATGGCAGGCAAAGTGTGCCGGTACACTCCCCACACACCAGGGGAGCAGAGGGATGAAGCTAGTTCAGAGATGGGCATTATAAGGAAGCCTGTTAACAATGCTGCTGTTCATTGCTGTACTATTAAAACAAAACATCATGTCACGGTAAGTATTTGATTTAGTTTATATGCACAGTTCTAAGCAAAAATGAAAGAAATGATCAGTAACAACTGAGCTGAGCGCAGTACAGCCATTTACTTCATGTGACTGAGTAAATACTAACATTTTATCTATGTGTCTTAAAGTACCAGCCAAAGAGAAGGGCTGTCCAGCAGAAGTAGCTAATTTGCCTGCCGGGGCAGAGAAAACAAAACAGACACCAATTCCTTTTTAACCACCCCAGTGATTTCATACCTTAACAAAGGGCAAGTTCCTCAACAAAAAAAACTACATTTTGAGAAAATAACATTCCACATGATCACAAAAATCTTAACATGTTTTCCATATATTTTAAAATGATGCTGAAAGTACACATACTGTACATAGAAATAAGGAGTTGGTAAATTGCTAGCTGCAACTAAAACAATGGAGTGACGACATTAATAAGTGATATAAATATATATTTTTG